CTGAGCTAAAGTGGCCCGCTCTCCCCTGGGCAGATTATAAAACCATATAACATATTATTCAGCGATTACACTAAGCAACTGCATTTTAGGATCAAACGCCACTGTTTTTGGCCGCCTCAGAGGGTCATCTGGAAGCTGTCGATTTGCTGTTGAATAGTGGTGCCAGCCGCGAGGTGACCGACTGTCAGGAACGCTCCCCCAAAGATGTGGCTATGGAGAAGCAGTTTTTCGATGTTGCCAACCGGCTGTCATCAACTCAAATGAACATTCCAGATAAAGATAACACTAATGATGACAGTCTACGAGTGGCTCAACAAAGAGTGCCGGAAAATTGCAGAAAAAATTTAAAAAAAGCGAAAAAGGTGCGATTTTCCATGATGAATTTTGAATTTTTTTTGAATTTTTGAATTTTTTTAGTCGTAATTTTTTCTTTTTGCAGCTTATGCGGTCTAATCCACGCATATTTCAGAGACCTTTGGTCAAGAAGATCAAGCCAACGTCTTATCAGCGCATTGCGCCCAGTGAATTCCTTACGCCCCCGCAATCCGACAACTCGCTCACATTTTTCTCACCCATCCAAACCGATATACCCGCGGGCTACGCTCCAATGGAGCCAATGGCGCCCTGGGGACACTACGAGCCTGGCCACGGGGATATTTCGGCCGAGCCACAAGTGCCCACTCATATTCTCTCACCACCCTATGAAACCGGCGCATTCGTCTGCTCTGACCTGGTTTGTGGCTCAAAATTTTAAATTTTTTTTCAAAATTTTCAAATTTTTTTCGAAAATAATCTCATTTCATTGGTTCGACGGCTTCAGATGCCCAGCTATAATGACTGGCGAGAGGGTGTGATCCGAAATAGCAGTGTGGTGAATACAACCCCCACTCAACAGCAGCAGCCGCAGCAGCTACATCACCCGTATAGCTTGATACCGGCTGCGTTTGCCTTAAGGAGGGCGCCTGATCAATCGATTGATCAAGCAGCAGCATTTGATCACCAGCTAGATCAATTAGAGCCAGGACTGTATGTTTGATCTGCGATCGATCTGAATTGATCATGTGGTGGCGGCAACGGCAACGGCGTTTGCCTACTCATTTAAACTCAATCTCGTCATTATTATTTCGGTTGTGGTACTGATTGGTGTGTCTGCGTGTTTGTGTGTGTAAAGGGATTGTAATTTTTTATTTGCCTTTACTTTTACTGTTTAATTTCAGGTTGTTACTCTGTAATTATTGGAAATTATATTGAATATTAGGGTATTTCATACCTATGTATAATATAATATAGTATAATTATAGTTCTGTAGATTGTATGGTGTTATTTCATTGGGTATTTTGGTAATTTTTAAACCCCCCTGTGGAACTACCTAGAATTGACCAACTAGATTGATTTCAGGCCTCCGTATCTAGAGATCTAGAAATTTGAATGCAAGTCTTTGGTGGAAGCATTGTTTTAAGTCTTGAACTGCAGAGGCTCGAGCTAAGGCCTTGGTCGGAAAATCAACCAGGGCTAAGGTTCAGCTGAGTAGTATGTGGGATTTGAATATGGTATCAGGGGCTAGGGTAATTGATGTTGGGTAGGTAAAATATAGCAGTGGGTTGGTGAAATGGGCAGGTTTTGGGGAGTTTATGAATTGTGTGTATTTTGTTGTATTTGAGGGAATAAATTGTTTGGAATTTGAGCTGTTTGTGATTTGTTTTTTAAAATTTGGTTGAGATGAAGTGAAATTTAAGAGTAATTTATTCATAGAACATTGAAATGCTTTGAATATTTAGTGATAAGTTAAAATTTTCACGGAAAATTTAAAAATTAGCGGATTAAATCTCCAGCCTAGAGGAAAATTTGGATTTTTTTCGGATTTTTCCAGGGGATGGAAATATTTTGGCAGATTTGAGCAGCAGCAGCTGGCTGGAGAGGTGGCTGCTGGTTGCCGCATTGGTCATTTGTGACTGGCACATGGAGACAGCGCGAAGTGGATCAGCTAAACCGATTTGATCTAGCGCCAGATAGGCGTACTCGTTGCTCAATTTTTCGGCGACAAAATAGACCTGAAATTGGCGAAAAAATTTGGCCTGAAATTGTGATTTGATAAGTGAAAGATGTGGCATGCTTTAACCGGTGGTTGCTTGTCAAAACTCTGGGTTGGTTTTCCAATTCGCGCGAAAAATTTCGGCCAGTTTAAGGTGACCTGAATTGTCTGAAAAGTAATTTCAGGATGTGGTACTAACCGAAGCGTAGTCCCCCTTGGGTAGCCGCACCCCGTCACAGATCCACTCATGAGGGTTACTATCGATTTCGTCGCTTTCGTACAGTTGCGTTCGATTCTCACTCGGCGCTTGCTCATTGTAGATGGCGAGACGTACGTTACGAAATGCCCTGAA